ATTGGCATCCTCATGGTACAATACAGGCTAAACACCAGCAACATGAATACTGTATGGGCTGGAATTGTAGGTGACTGTCTGGTAGGTCCATATGTTCTCCTTGCATATCTTACAGGAGCTGTCTATAGGGACTTTATTTCGAACATACTTCCAGACCTGTTACAGGATGTACTATATAATTTAATACGAAAACGAGTAGGGTTCATATATAATGGAGCTCCAGCATATTTTTGTCTCATTGTTCGCGATGCTCTGGCTAACATCTACCATAAAAGATGGATAGGTAAGGGAGGACCGGTTCCGTTTCCGACACGTTCCCCCGACCTAAATCCTTTGGATTTTTATCTGTTCCGTCGCCTAAAACATTTGGTTTATGCAGAGAGACTTCATCTGCATGTCGTGGGGGCCTGCGAAACCATTAGACACCGTGTGGAAGTATCTGAAAGGGTTCACCAGTCACTGATCCGACGGGTGCATGCATGTGTAGAAGCAAGCGGAGGATATTTTTGAACATTTGCTATCAATTGCTGTGTGGTGATAGAACGATGGCGTTTGGACTATGCTTATATTGAATTTTGTCCTTGTTTTGGTGTGAGGAACCTACCTCCGGATTTGCAAAATTATTTTTGATACACCCTGTATATATAATTTTAATTTATTGCTAAAACGTTATTTTTAATGGATACCCATATTTGAGTAGAAGCCCTGTTTTCATTTATTTATTAAAAAGTGTATTTATTTATTTCCATCTACCGGCTAGAATATTCGAGAAACCTTGTTGAAAAAGATGCGCCCTCAGGCTGGATTCGAACCTGCGTGCCCTGGGGAAAACCATCGTTATATATGACGTGCCTTGACCTCTCGAACAAGAACCTCCTGGTCAAACAAGGCCCGAATAGTGCTTCTGAATACAAATTTTTCCCGTTTCTCGAAACGTACATAGCCACACAGTATCATATCCTAACGGAAACAAAGACAATTAGGCAATGGATATCCATTAAAAAATAACGTTTAACTCATAAATTAAAATGTCTTGGAATTGGTCGAAAACGACGGAAAATGCGACAACGAAATCTGAAGGCGCATTGAGATAGCGAAAGATGCTTTCCAAAAGCTAAGCAAAGTATAAAGAAACCGGAAAGTTTCGTTAGAAACAAAGAAAAATTACTAAACTATTATGCAATATCATTCCGCTTATATGGCAGTACTGAGGATTGTGTGGACCATACATGATTGTTTTTTGAAGTTTTAGAGGAAATTGAAAAATTTTAGGAAACTTATACTTAACATCAGGAAGAGACAGATGAAATTTCTACAGAAGGATGCTGAGGATACCATGGACCGAACATGTGAGCAACGACGAGGTTTTTAGAGAAAATGGAAACAAAATGGAAACTTATACTTAACATCAGGAAGAGACAGTTGAAATTTCTACAGAAGGATGCTGAGGATACCATGGACCGAACATGTGAGCAACGACTAGGTTTTAGAGAAAATGGAAACAAAAAGGAAACTTATACTTAACATCAGGAACAGACATCTGAAATTTCTACAGAAGGATGCTGAGGATACTATTGACCAAACATGTGAGCAACGACGAGGTTTTAGAGAAAATGGAAACAAAAAAGAAACTTATATTTAACATCAGGAAGAGACAGTTGAAATTTCTACAGAAGGATGCTGAGGATACCATGGACCGAACATATGAGCAACGACGAGGTTTTAGAGAAAATGGAAACAAAAAGGAAAAAGCTTATACTTAACATCAGGAAGAGACAGTTGAAATTTCTACAGAAGGATGCTGAGGATACCATGGACCGAACATGTGAGCAACGACGAGGTTTTAGAGAAAATGGAAACAAAAAGGAAACTTATACTTAACATCAGGAAGAGACAGTTGAAATTTCTACAGAAGGATGCTGAGGATACCATGGACCGAACATGTGAGCAACGACGAGGTTTTAGAGAAAATGGAAACAAAAAAGAAAACTTATATATTTAACATCAGGAAGAGACAGTTGAAATTTCTACAGAAGGATGCTGAGGATACCATGGACCGAACATGTGAGCAACGACGAGGTTTTAGAGAAAAAATTTTTTTTAAAAGGAAACTTATACTTAACATCAGGAAGAGACAGTTGAAATTTCTACAGAAGGATGCTGAGGATACCATGGACCGAACATGTGAGCAACGACGAGGTTTTAGAGAAAATGGAAACAAAAAAACTTACTTATACTTAACATCAGGAAGAGACAGTTGAAATTTCTACAGAAGGATGCTGAGGATACCATGGACCGAACATGTGAGCAACGATGAGGTTTTAGAAAAATGGAAACAAAAGGAAAATCTTATACTTAACATCAGGAAGAGACAGTTGAAATTTCTACAGAAGGATGCTGAGGATACCATGGACCGAATATGTGAGCAACGACGAGGTTTTAGAGAAAATGGAAACAAAAGGAAACTTATACTTAACATCAGGAAGAGACAATTGAAATTTTTTACAGAAGGATGCTGAGGATACCATATGACTTTAAATATGTGAGCAACGACGAGGTTTTTATAGAGAAAATGGAAACAAAAAAGGAAAATTATACTTAACATCAGGAAGAAACAGTTGAAATTTCTACAGAAGGATGTTGAGGATTGCATGGACCGAACATGTGAGCAACGACGAGGTTTTAGAGAAAATGGAAACAAAAAGGAAACTTATACTTGAACATCAGGAAGAGACAGTTGAAATTTCTACAGGAAAATTAATAGCTTTGGATACCATGGACCGAAATTATTGATAACTTTCGAAAATTTAGATTTGGAAATAAAAAATAAACTTATACAAATATCAGGAAGAGACAGTTAATCCCGAATTAAGCAGAAGGATGCTGAGAAAATTAAATATTTGACACAAACTTTGTTTTTTATAAAAATGAAAAAATATAATTACAGACACATTCAAATTTTTGAAATTATTATTTCCCGTGAACAATATCTTGAAGAGATACAGAAGATCCAGATCTTTTTAACTTGATTTTCAAAATACAATTAAATAAAAAAGGTTGACTTAAAAAAATAAATATAAATTGATATAATTGAGTAATAAACATTTTTGCCTTCTTGAAATTAGTTTTAAAGAAAATTTGGAAAAGATTGGATTTTTAAAATTAAAGGGAAAATTTATTTAATTTCATTGTTCTTTTCAGCTGTCTGGCTCCAAGTGTTTAATAAGAACTCGCCCTGCCCTCAATTTTGAAAATGGACGAAAAAAAAATATATAAAAATATTGTCTTTTTATAAAAATTTTCCCAAATAGGGTTTTTTTTTTCTCTTTTTTTAAAATTAATTCATAGTTGCAACCGAAATTTTAAAATTAAACAGTAATCAAATTATAAATAAAGGCTTTGATCTTTTTTATTTCTGAAAGAATCTTTGAACTTATAATTTAAAAGGCGGCAATCTTTTTCGTTTGAAAGTAAATGAACAAATTGGCTGTGAGAAATTTGAAATCAAAAGAAATTTTCATTATTGAAAAAAAAAAAAACTACTGAAGTGATGGGAGGCAAGTAAATTTATTTTTTGGATATATCTTATGATTTAAGAAAATGATTATCTTTTCCTGCCAGAACGCTAGGAACATCGCCTATTTTAACCCTTCAGCGCAGTCCGCCAGTACGCCAGTCTAATTTTGTTTATCCGTGAGAAGCGTCGAGCACGCCAGTTTTTTTTTGTTTTTTTTTATTAATTTTTTTTTTACGCAAAAACTAACTTGACTATGACAATCGATAACTCTTTATTCGAAATTCAAAATACGATCAAATATTTGCTAAATTTTTTTTTTTGGTTTTTAATTTTTTGTAAGATGGGTATGGAATTGGAAATAAAGATGTGTTTCACAATGGATAATGGCTTGAAAGTAAAAAGTTTTGATGTTTGTTAAAATTGTTATTTCAAAATTCGTTAAATAAAAAAATATGAATGGTATTTCGACACAATCTTCTTTTGGAAAATAATGAAAATTATTAATAAAATTAAATGACTAAATTTTTATTATTCTTTCTTCATTTTTACAAAAAAAAAAAATTTTCTGGCTTTAAATAACCTGCAAAAAAAGTTGATTTTAATTAGAAAATGAACGATTAAGAAATTTTCATTATATCCTTTTTCAGAATATGAAATCTGCTACGAGTTTTTCCAAACCATTTTTGAATTGGTTGCCATTGCTTGCGTAAAAAAAAACACAACCGTAACGCCCCCCCTTTTTTTGTAAAAATTAACCTTAAATATTGTATTTTATTCACGTCAAATGGGTATTTTAATATTTCCCAAAATACTTCTTACATAAATGGGTTGATTAATTCATTTTCTATGATTTATCAACTCATTGCGGGTGATTTTCATCCAGCAAATATTTTAATTGTGTCATCATACATTGTTCAGAATACATCCACCTTTAATAGATCCAATTTACTGAGGGAGGCGTCGCTGTATAGGTTGAATAAGTCTGGGGAGAAGATGCATCCTTGTCTCATGCCACATTTTACTTTTGTATAGCTACTCTATTTTCTGACCATATACAGGCTTACTAGCTGTAATTAAATCATGGATGCTACCGAAAAATAAAATAAATGGCGTCTTTGTCAGATAGATCCAATGAACTTTGGTTAGCCAAAGAACAAGAGAATTAGATGCAAAACGAATGTTATTAATTACAAATTATGTATGCTATTTTACTCTTGCCCTCTCCGCCAGATGGCGTCCTCAGTCGACCTTCTTTTGAAAGGGGATCTATGCTGGAGAGTGTGGCTTCTGTTCAAAGTACGGTGAAAATACGTATTAAATAATATAAACATCAAAGTATTCAATGAAACAAAAATAAAATAAGTTATTAATACTGTCTTTGAGCTGCACAATGTTGATTAGAAGGTATTGTGAAATTTAAGAAGCGGTATTAATGCGTTGAGTTTGGAGATATCTAAAGAAATGACTGTAGTGAAGTGACTGACTAGGGGAAGAAAAGAAGAAAAAAGTTAGAAGAAGAAGAACAGAAAAGAAAACGAAAAAGACGACGAATCAAGAGAACGTGAATGAAAAAGTTGAACAAAAAAAGAATGAGAAAATTTGTTGAAGAGAGAAAGAATGCAATAAATAATGTTAGAAAAAGGAAGAAAATACACATAAATAATGCTAAAGAAAGAAAGAAAGACATGAATAATAAAGTGAAAGAAAAAAGAAACAAAGAAAGAAAATAAGAAACATTACTAATGCTAAAGATAAAAGACATCTTATCTTATCTTACTTATTATAAAACGCAGATTGTGTGTGTGTGTGTGTGTGTGTGTGTGTACGTTTATATATTGGATCGGATTTCCACATTTTTCAAACCGATTTCAACAAAACTTCACAGGACTACGTAAAATTACCTTTGCGGTGGTTCTGACAGCGCCAAAAATGGAAAAACACAATTGTTTTTGCTCGAAATCAATTTGAAAACACGATTAAAAGGCATCGCTGTCGAGAATGAAAGGGGGACAACTCATATCGAGTTATACTTATTATAAAACCCAGGTTGTTTGTGTGTGTGTGTGTGTTCGTTTATATATGGGATCGGATTTCCTACATTTTTCAAACGATTTCAACAAAACTTCAATTTTTTTTTCAGGTAGTGTTTCTTATTGTCTTGCACACACAGGAAAACTATTTTTAACATTCAGAATGCTTTAAAAATTCCATTTAAAAGAAAAACAATTGTTTATAATAAAATTCTATTCAATCGGTAGACTCATAACGATTGAAAAAATGTGTTTTGTTTGAGTTTGGGTTTGACCAATTCGTAAAAAAAAAAAATGAAAACAAAACAAAACAAAATCTAAAAAAGACATGCGTGTCCGTCAACCTTAAACAATAATCTTTGTCAATTTTATTTTTCAGTCTTTATGGTGGTCGATAAAATCTATCACTTACTGTTACATCCCCGGGGAAAAAAAAAACAAACTCATGCTAGTAAATAATAAAGTGAAAGAAAAAAGAAACAAAGAAAGAAAATAAGAAACATTAATAATACTACGGAAAGAAAAAAGAAAGACATGAATTAAAGTGAAAGAAAAAACAAAGAAAGAAACATGAAACGTTAATAATGATAAAGAAAGACACGAATAATAAATGAACGAAAAAAAGAAAGAATGAAAAAAAAAGAAACAATAATAATGCTAAAGAAAGACATGAATAATAAAGTGAAAGGAAGAAGACTCTCAAAGAAAACAATGGCGAATATGAATTAAATATAGAGAAGAAGAAAGGCGATGAAATAGAAGAAAAGAAAAGAAAAGACGAAAAGGAAAAAGCAGAAGAAAAAAAAACTTGAGAATTTTGCTGAAGAAAGGAAAAAAAAGAAAGAGAAATATAAAAAATAAAAACGAATTTGAATAAGAATCATCAAATAAAAATGGAAAAAAAAGAAATTATGAAAAAAGAAGAAAGAAAAGAAAAAAACCAATTTATTAAAGAACAAGAAAATAGAGACGACTAAAGAAAAAGAAAGAAAGAAAGAAAGAAAGAAAGAAGAAAGGTAAGATTAAAGAAGAATGAAGGAAAAAAAGAACAACGAAAGAAGACAACAAATTGAATCTGAAAGCTGAAGAAAGGAATGAATTGAGAAAACAGAGAAGAATAAAAGATAAAAAAAGAAAGAAAGAAAGAAAGAAGAGAACAGACGAAAAGATGAGATGAAAGGTGAAAAAAGAAAGAAAGGCACAAAAAGGGATACTGAAAGATGAAGATTAAAGGAGAAAGAAATAAGAACGGAAGGAACGTCTAATATAGAAGATGAATGTTGAAAAAAGATGGAAAAAGAGAAAAGGAAGACAAAAAAGATATGTTGAAAGACGAAATAAAAGAAAGAAAGAAGAAAGAAAGATAAGAAAGAAAAGAAGAAAGATGAAGAAAGAAAGAAAGAAGAATAAAATAAAAAGATTAAACAAAACAAAGAAAGAAGCAAAAAAAGGCAAAAAAATAAGACGAAACAAAAGAAAGAAAATTGAGAAAGAAGATAAAAAAAGATGATGAAACGTGAAAAAAAAAAAGAGAGAGAAAGGAAGAAAGAAGAAGCAAAGATAAAAAAAGAGAAGAATAAAGATGAAAAACGTAATAAAGACAAAAATAAAAGAAAAAAAAAAAGAAAGAAGAGACAAAAAAGACCAAAAAAAAAAAAAAAAGAAGTATCAAAGGAAAGAAAATGGAGAGAAGAGAAAAAAAAGAAGAAAGAAAACAAAGAATAGAGAAAGAAGCAAAAGAAGAAAACAAAGATAGAAAAAAGAAAGAAAACAAAAAGAGATGATGAAAGACGAAGAAAAAAAAAAGGGAAAAAGAAAGAAAGAGAAGAAAGAGAAGATAAAAAAGGAGAAAGAAAGAAAGAAAGAAAGAAAAAGAATAAAAATACAAAAGGTGAAAAAGATGAAAAAAAAATATTGAATAAAAAAAAATTTATTGAATAATGAAATAAAATAAAAGAAAAAAAGAAAAACAAAAAAAAAAGATTAAAGATGAAGAAAGAAAAAAAAATTAAAAAAAAAATATAAAAGAAAAAGAAAGAAAAAAAATAATAATAAAAAATAAAATAATAATAAAAAATAATTCTAAAAAATATGACGCATGAGGTCATAAATAATTCCAATTGTAGTTGGAGCACTCGGATGAATTGAAAAATGTTCCTATAGACTCATTGAAAAAGATTTCTGGTGGCCCATGCCATAAAGAAATGCAAAAAATGGTTCTCACATTTACAGATCACACATTCCGAAGAACTTTATCTATGCGATAAAACGTGTGCGTTCTTCGTTTTTCTTTTGTTGTTGTTTTTTTTTATAAAAAATGATCAGTGGAAAATGTCATGGAGGTTTTTCTGACCTTAGGTTTATGATTGCGACCCGGAAGGAACTCTCTATACAACAAATATCCAAGGAAATAATAAAAGTAAAAGGATCTTGAAATGGAAATAGCAAAAATGTGGCATATGAGAATCTTAATAATTCGATTTGTAGTTGGAGCCTTCGGATTGATTGGAAAATATTCCCATAGACTCGTAGAAAAGATTCCTGGTAGTCCAAGCCCTAAAGAAATAATAATAATAAAAAAAAACTGTACTCATAAGTACCATTCACACTTTACGAAGGGCTTGATCTATGTAAAATGTGTGATCTTAGTTGATTTTTCCTTTACAAAAATGTTCAGTGGGAAATGTCAATTAACCATTTCTGACTTTAGGTCTCTGGTTGGGACCCGGAAGGAAATGAGTATACAACAGAAATCAAAGGAAATAATAATAATAATAATAATAATAATAATAATAACATTTGTTGTAGAATACCGAAAGACGATAATGTCCCCATTCACATAAATACAGTAGTAAATACTGTATGTTGGTCTGCAGTCAGAGATTCGTCTCCAGCTGTGCTGATCGAACTCTTTGCCTCCGGGCAGAGAGGATCCCCAGGCGAGGCTATGTCGAATAGCAGAGTCTCGTCTCGGCAAACAGCTACCCGACCCCGTTTTATAAGGGGTTTATTGGGAATTTTTGGCCGAGACTACGGGCTCGGATACCCCACATTAAATTTAGCCTTGTGCCACATCTGACTGCGTGTGGCGGTTGGTAGATATCCTGCAGTTGGAGATTCGTTGTGTAAATTCACTTGACTCCCTTCTAGCAGTTGACTACTACTTCTACGCGCCGCTGGCAAAACTTATATGTGTTGTTCTTGTCCTAAGTATTATCATTCTACTAACCTTTGTTTGATTATTTCCTACATTACAACAACAACAATAATAATAATAATAAAAATAATAAAAGAAGAAGCTTTTTACATTATTCGGACTATTGTCCTCATCTTTGTCGCCATATTTATTACAACGTTTCGGACGTTTTACGCTCCGGCCTTCTTCAGGTGGTTGAGGTGTCGAGCTGAACCCTTTATTTCGCTCACTGTTTAGATCCAGTGACAGGACCCAAACAGTGTGAGTTCAGTAACCGGTTAAGGCAGTGGAGAATTTGGAGAGGGGAATTATCTGATAACTGACATCCATTAAAAACATGGCACGTGGAACTAGAACAGTCTACGCCAGTGAGCGAAATAAACGGTTCAGTTCGACATTCCAACCGCCTGAAGAAGGCCGGAGCGTACATTGGGCGAAACGTTCTAATAAAGCTTTATGTTAATTTGCCAAACGTATAAATGTCGAATAATATAAATGTTTTAAAAATTCTAAAAAAATCATACCTTAAAATCCCACCGCGTGGGCACATTATAAAACCATCCAAGATTTTGGGGTCGGTTTTTTTTAAGACATAACCTTGTAAACCCATTTTGTATAATTTACGTTGAACATTGTAAATTAGTAGTCCAAATTAATTCTTAACTGCTCAATGTGGCGTAATGGATTGCGGCTTCAACTGAGGAATCATAGAACTGTCAAAATCGAAATCCATTACATTGATTTACGTATATAAAAGCCTTGGGAAAATTTCATTCTCATCTTCTCCCGCCAGCTATGGGCAAATAGCAGGACAGACCAGGTTCTCTTTTAAATTGATGACAACTGGTATTCCGCATCTACGTATTCAACTGAACCTCCCCTATCAAAAAAATTCTGCCTCGTCAGTTTTCTGGATCGAAAAATAAATACGCCTAAACGATTCACACATGGCATATAACTGAATTGATTTCCCTTACGTGTTAATCCCTTGGGAAAGGTATAATCTTTTCTTTCCCCACATTTAATGGCACCAGCTGTCAGTAAATAGCAGGACATCCGAGTTCTTAGGAGGATGGCAACTGGTCTACCACAGAAAGAAATAGCAACCTACAGAGGGAAAAAAAATTCACACGTCAGTTATACCTTTTTCATTTTCTCATATATATATATATCTGACTAAATTAAGATGATATACTGGTCTTTATAATTCATCGAATTCAATGGACTGGTATGGAAATTACTTATTATTATTAAATAATTCATCTAAAACTAATATATCGATTATAATTATTAATTATAATTTAATTCTGGAATCATTAAGGTCTATCCAAACAAAAAGTGTCAAACAAGAAACTTAGCCTAGTAGAAAAGGATTGAGTAGCCATACAAAAATACAAAGGGACGTAAGACAAGGATGTGTCTTCTCGCCAGACTTATTCTACTTCTACTGTGGGGATAGCCTAAGGTAGCTGGAGCACCCTTTATCATCAATTAATTATCGGTTGGCGTAATTCTAAATGCAGAATACGCATTTTATTTTGAAAAGCACTTTGGAATGCATATGAATATTTGTTTGCTCCTTTTTATAATTTTTTTAGTGTTTCACCGTAGAACTCTAGCAATGATCACAACATTTTTTTCCCATTAAGTTTTCTTCCATTGAGTTCGTCTTTTGGAATCGGTTGTGGAGACTTATCTTTGTTCCACAATTGTCTTTTGCGTTGAAAATTATCGTATGTTAGCGTACCCCAAATTTTATTTTTAACTACCAAGTATGCTTAGTAGTAAGAATGATACATTCGCCATTAAAAATGGTCCCTAAAAAAAAAAAAAAAAAAGAAATTACTTGTGACTGAATGTAACGTTTGGCTCCAAAGTGTACTCACCCTATACTATTTGAAGATTGACCATTCTGAATTATCAGAACTAGGCAGACACAGGTTTTCCGTTAGAAAGACAGATATCATATTCTAATGCTTCTGTAGATTTTCACTTTGTTTGCCGCTCGATTCTCGACATGACACAAAGAAAATGTCAGGCCTGTTAAACACCAGAGCTTACTTACCCCGCGACCCCACTTGAGCTACGTCTGATATTGTAAACAT